TTTCCCTGCTCAGAGTAACTCAGATTAATTCTGGGCAATGATCTCTTTTTACACAGCTGTACCCTGATGTTTCCTAATCAAGCTGTTACACTGTTGTAACAATCTCTATCTTTTCTAGGCTTTTCACTGTTCCTGGAGGGGCAGGAGGGAGAACCAAGCTTCCCTTCACTTCTAATCACAAATTCTCTGCCACTGCCTGAGCAGATATCTAGTAACATACCTCGTCTCTTTCTGTGCTAGTTTTGCCTCTATTTTCTGGTACACACAGGATTCTAGAGTGTATGTATTACATGTCTTTAATTATCTTTGATTTTTTCTGAAGCTACACTGCCTGTATAACACTTTATCTTGCTATAACCTACATTGCCAACTGATACTTTACAAACTTCACAGCAAAAACACACCTGCTTTTGTTCTTTTTGCATAGAAGACTGTAATTATTCTCCCAAGGACCTTAGAGTTAAGGACCCTGTTCATTCATACAGTCTTTCCAGCAGGGAGATGACTTCCTTTGCTTTCTAGCTTCCTATTGTAAACACAACAGGAGGTTCTTACTTAATTCTAAGCAGATCACAGCATATACTCATGTCCGCTACTCTGCCTGACATAGAAAACCAAAGTTTCCTGGTCAGAAGTAAAAAACAACATCTCCTGCACAATACTTATAACTTCAGTTACTTCCTATATAACTTTACCTTACTACAAGTTTCAGCTAACTCCTCTAAAACAGATCACTCTGCATCAACACATTCTCTGATCAGTCAGGTTACTACTCTTGCATCCTGGTGGAGTTGCCAATTGTTGGACTAGATTTGAACCTAGCACTTATATCTTGCTTGGACGGACACAATCCTCAGACTGACCACAACACCTGCCAGTTGATAATAGGTGAATTTATTGATACAGAACAAGAACAAAAAAGCAACAATACAGACAATTAAACAATTCTGTATCTACTAAGCCCAGAGCTGTCATAAGAATCCAGGTACACCTGGGCAGAGTGCAGGCTTTACTATGTCTCTTAGGTGTCAGCAGTCTGGAGGTGAAATCTTGAACGCTCTAAGCTAAAGCCTGGAGGGCAGTTGCTTTACAGAAGGCCTGCTTCCATGATCTATTGCATAAAATTCCCTAGGCCCAACTCTCGGCCATAATCCAAGCTGAGCTAGATGGATTCTCCTGGGGTCCCAGATCCCCATTACGTTTAACCCAATTCTCAATAAAAACACAGAGGTCACCCTGACCCCACACACACAGAGGAAAATCCTCTGAACCCACTGCCATGCTACAGGGGAAGGGTAAAAGATGGGGTACGATAGCTGAGGCAGCCCAGGAGAACCTAGTTCATGCCGAGGTAGTCCAGGCCCAAGAGAACCTAGTACACCTGCAAGGCCTTACCCTGGTAGGATCGGGATGATCAGCCCCCTGCAAATGTGTGTTGAATCCTGCTGACTACACCAAGATGTTAGACCCTGACTCCATGCGGTGCCCAGCGACTAGGGAGACAACAATCCAATTGCTCATGGATCGTAACAATCAGGAACGATTCAGTCTTACACTGAAAAATAGATTGCTTCCCCCCCTGCAGTCCCTTAAAACTGGTGATAATAATCTGAGCAAGGAATTGTTCAATGTTAGTAAAGGTATTGGATTTTGACTTTGAGCAGAAAATTACTCGCCTATAGATTTGTTCAGAATCATGTAAGGCATGCACATAGTTAAAGTTTGTTCTTTATTTCTTAAGAGATAATGGGAAATTATTTGCAGTAGCTCAAGGCCGCAGCAAAACAAATTGATAATATTAAGGAAAAGAGACACAATATTAAATGCATTTTTGCATGTTGCTTGCATTCAATGATCTGCAGAATCTGTCTAGTCCATCTGGCCTGCAGGCCATGGGTTGCCAATCCCTGATTTAAAGCAGATAAACTCAAATCATTACCAATAATGATTTATTTTTTTGTTGCAGACTCTCAATTGCAGGGCCTATGGCAGGGTTGGGGTGGGAAAAAATGAGAGTACAGTTATATCAAGTCCTCAAGCTTGGGGAGCTGCCAAATTTGTGAGAATTGCAAGTACCTTATGTAATAAAGTGTGTAAATTAAGTCTGATCTCTATAAATGTATTTAAAATCTTATAAAATCAGCTTAAAATTCAAATAAAATTTCTATATTTCCTGCTTCCCAAATGGGAGGTGCCCCCATGAGAAAGTACCAGACCCCCAAATTTATTTCACAAGTCCTACTCAAGGGCTCAAACACAACTTTGCAATCCAGCCCCATTGAGCATGTAGCTGTTCCATCCAAAAAGCCTTGGAATGGGGTTCAGTCAGAAATCAGCTCCTAGCTCCATCTTGCTTTGAGCCATGGAAGCCATTTCCTTTCACAACATACTCCTCGTGTCTGCAATGGCACAGATGTACTTGCCAGCACGTTGAAGTGGATGAGCCAAGGTTCCTCCACCTTGTATCAATGTCTGTGCCCCCAGGCCTGAAGCTAGAGCATGATGATGTGAGTACTTAAGGGGGAACTTAACTTTTGTGCGTGGCTGCAGAAGCAGTCCTATGACTGAACCCAAGTCAATGCAATAGAGTTCTGTAGAAAACATGGAGACCTTTAGGAATTAAAGCCACCTTGACTGTTTTAAATTTATTTTTCAGGGAGTGTTTATCTTCAGTGCTGTCCAGATGACTCCTCTTACTATGGGGAACTATGTTTTCCCAACATGGGGCCAAGGGGTTGGCTGGCTTATGGCTCTTTCTTCTATGGTGCTGATTCCAGGCTATATGGCATACATGTTTCTTACTTTAAAAGGCTCCTTAAAACAGGTAGGTCACTATTTTTCAGACGCATTTATTTATTGATTTATTTTTGCAAGATATTTATTGGGATATCTGGTGAGATTGGTATGTTGCTGCTTCCCATCATTTATCATCTTAGCTCAGGCATTTTATAGCAAATATAAGAACATGAAACCAAGAATGTCAGCATGAAAAATAATAAGGCTAACGGTATTCTTAAAGACTTTATATAGTAATGCAGCTGTTAGTATAACAGATATCACTATTATTAGGCCCTGTCAGTTCCAAACACTTGGCTTCCTAGCACTTTATGCCTGGCAAACCAAATAGCAATGTTGATATATATGATCAAAATGATATCTAATTTGCCCCAATACAAAACTGATCATTTCTGCCTATGTCCTGGTTCTTGATCAGTGTGTAAGTGCAGAATACTGTGACTGAGGTAGCTCTTGCCCATGAGAACTGTCTGCCTATATTCAGTGGCAAGGTATAGGCATTACAATTTTACCAATATAAGTGATCAAAAACCAGTTTATACCCATAATATAACAAGTTCAGCATACAGACTTGTTTAAAAATGACAGAACACAGTCTATGATTTGCACCCCACTCCCACCTCTGCCACCACCAAAGGGCAAATGTGTGTTCTGTTGCCTACCGAGCTAAACTATGCTGCTTACAGAAAACTATGTGACTTAGATTGATTCTGCAACAGGCTTTTTGAATGTCCATACTGTGATTGCACATGCAAATAATGCTGTATGATAGGGCTAGCAGTCTACATTGGCATCGTGCATAATCTTCTGATATAACATAGCCCAGGGATGGCCAAAATATGGCCTGTGGGCCAGATCTGGTCCATAGAAGGACTTTGTCTTGCCCATGGTGGGTCCCTTGGTCCTGCCTGGACCAGGTACCATCCAGCTTGTGGCATGTCCCACTGTCCCCTGGGCCCGCAGTGGAGCTGGGGTGGCTCCACAGCTGGACTGCCTTTCTAGACAGCCCAGGTGGTGGTGGCAGCTTCTTTTGGCTCTTGCCACCAATGGGCCCCCACCCCATAGTGGGAACCTGCATACCTCCTTTGGACTTGGTCCAGCCAGAGAAGACCAGCTCCTGACCAACCAGAATCCATGTGCACATCCCTGACCTGACCTGCCCTGTGCCTGCTCTGGACTGCTTCCACACATTGAGCAGCAGCAGAAGCAGTGGCCAGACAGAAGCTGCTGTTCAATGTGGGGGAAAAGTGACCCCTCCCCTTCACTGCTGCTAGGCCCTTCTTGCTGCTGTTGCAGCTGCCCAGAGCCCATGCCTGGGCTGTCCTGCATCTCCTCTGCACTGCTACTGCTGGGTGGCCTGGAGGTGGTGGTAAGGAGCCACAGGGCAGCCCAGGCACAGGTTCTGGGCAGCTGTAGTAAGGAGGACCTGGCAGTGGTAAGGGGGAGGGGTTGCATTTCCACCACGCTGCATTTCTACCCAGCCACTGCTCAGTGTGGGCAGGGAGCCTGGATGAGGCACAGGGTGGGCCGGGGTTGGGGCTGTGTGCATGGGTTCTGGCTCATTGGCTCCAGTTGGGGCAAGTCTGGTGAGGGCTGGGGTCGGGGCTTTAGCTGTGAGCTGTTGATGGTGCAAGGGAGGAGCATTAGGGTGCATGGGCTCCAGGCTGTTGTGGCAGGGTAGAGAGGGGTACTGACCAGCCCATGGCAGCTCCCCAGAACTCCACAGGCCCAAATAATTACCTATCCTGGAACAGGATATTTTGACCTGTAATCTGTTCCTTGCTTGACATAAATTTCCTGTCTGATTGGAATAATTCAATAAACCTAATCTTTGAGACAAATACAGGATGTTTGGTTTTGCCCTTTTTATATCTTAAATAAAGCTACAATCACAAACATTTGCTCACATGAAGTTTTCTGTTGGCTGCTGCTTACATTTGGAACATTCACTTCTAATTAGAGCATGTTCGGAATTTTACGATGAAAAGGTTTTGTCAGAAAATGTCAGTTCACTGAAAATGAAACATTTGATAAAAATAAACCAGTTTCAGCAAAGATTTAACTGGGAAAGATTTTTTAGGTTCAAGATGGAATTTCTGGTGAGAAAAAGAGAGCTCAGAAGAGCCAACAAATGAGCAGTGAGGATATTTATCTGGAATATGGGAGACCTAAATCCCTTCTCTACCAGATTCAGACTTGTCCTTGAACAACACTTAAACCTTATACTGGGTTTGTGTACATGAAACACTTTACTTGAGATTAGAAATTATTACTGCATAATAAGCATCACTGTGTACATGTGCAGATGCTTCCTGCAGTTAGCTCTAATCATGAGTAAATATGCTACTTGTAAGTACAGGTAGCCAATTTCTTCTCAATTTATTCTCAAGCACTTACTGTGCAATAGTGCACATTTAGACGCCTGACTGGGAGCATATTTGCTCCCAGTCAGCAGGGGGTGGGAGATTGCTCTCTGCCCCTAGGAGCTTCCTGCTGTTGGGGTGGGCTCTTCCACTGGAGCCCAGGCAGGGACAATCTTCCCCTGCCCCATCAGTGGGCAGCTCCCAGCCCCCACTCCATGATTGCAGGTCTGGGACCAAGAGATAAGGATCTTCCAGTACAAGCTCTGTGGTTGCGGGACCTGGGCTGGGAGATTCTTCTCTCCCAGCACTGGCCCTGTGACTGTGGAGCTGGTGCTATGAGATTCTTTTGTCCCAACACTGGCTCTAGTTGTGGTACTGGTAATGCTCTGTGGTCAGGGGGCAGTGCTCTGTTGTCATGGGACCAGAGCTGGGAGAAATATTTCACAAATATACTTTTTTTTACAGAAAGTCTATGATAAGGTCTTAAATTAAAAGATTCGGTGGCCTGTATTCTACAAAGGATGAGGCTAGATGACCATATCCTCTTTTTCTGGCCTCATAACCTGTGCACCTCAAAAAATAAAATCCATTGTGAAACAAGTATATATGTGTATATGTATGTATGTATGTGTGTGTGTATGTATGTCCAAGTTCTCTGGTGTTTCAAAGAAAGATTTTTAGCAAAGCTACAGAGTTATATTTTTTCACTTAGCCTTAAAGACTCATTGATGTGTCATGGAAATCCATGGAAAATGTTGCTGTTATCTCATTATTTGAATCTTTCTTGCTCTTTGTTTTAGCTATTTGTTTTTGCTATAATGTGAGAGGCAAGCATTTTTTGAGTGATATTTTTTATTGGATGGACTGCATGGTTGGGATAAAGTTAGTTAGACAACCTTTTGAAGGCAGGGTATTCTTCATCAGGACACCTGATTATGTTATATTTATGTGTATATTACTATAATATTTACATAAAGCTAGAATCTTGTTCCTTATGGAGATAGCTGTTGCTTTGGCTCTGCTTTTTAAGCCCATAATAGAACTTGATTTGTTTGGTTATCCTTCATATAATTCCATATAGAAAGGTTTGATAAATGACTATAAGATGATAAAAGCAGACTACTGATACTAGTATTTATCTTAAAGTTTGTTATTAACACAGCTATTGAAAGTGTTTACTTATAAGCAAACTGTTAATCTTTTTGATTAAGTCTACAGCATTTGATCAGCACTTTTTTATAAGGGATTACTAAAGGTTTTAATAAAAGGTAAAAAACCATATGTGGTACGCCTAGATGCTTATCTAGACAAACCAGCTCAGAAAAAACAATACTGACAAAAATGTTTAGGCAGAACTCTAAATCTTGCTGGAGCATCAAAATCTGCTAATTAATTTTAAAACATTCACTTTATATTTGTTGCATCATTACTGGACCCCAGGTAGGATCAGAAGTGGAAGGACTGAAACATTCTTTAGCTGAACCCCACTGCAATGTTGATGAAGAGCAGGAAGCGCTCATATGAACTGTAGAGGTTGTATTCTTATAACTGGGCACATACACACATGCAGTTAATAAGAACCAATAAACTCCAGAGCTTATTGCTTTGGAACATGTTGCTCCAAGGCATGTTGTTTGAACATGCATCCATTACTGCAGCATGTTGAGCTACAGTACAGCAGCTCTGGCTCCCCACCC